TGGCATTCATACCATGTATCTTATTTAACTGTGTTGACTGTGATTATGGATGATTTATCTTGCGCTACAATAAATAACAAGGGGAGGTTGATTGATTTTGACTCATCTCTCTGTTTCTCTCTCACACACACATACACAAATACTGTTCAGAAGTCATGGCTTGTTTTGAACATGGCTTATTAAAGATTCAATGTATTCCGAATCATTTTATAGATGAATCAAGTTTACATGCTTTGTGGTTTGCTAGTCAGTTCCCGTTTTGCTTCCTCTCCCTTTTTTCAAAAATGGATTTGTATTTTTCTCCAGAGAATTATTTACAGTTTGGGTCAGAATTTTATTTTGTTTTGTTTTTTAAAAAAATAATAAACAAGAGGAAGCATAAACCATCAGTTCTACAGCTCCTTTTAGCCAAATGCTAAGCCAGTGATGTCAAACCTATGATACGTGTGTGGTTATATTTTCGATGATGTGCCAATGTTAACCAATATCCGTCAACAATTATTCTTGAAAGCGTGCCCCCTCCTCACGTGATTTTCGAGGCTGCGGCGGCTATGTGAGAACGGGAGGTCTTGAGCAGCCTGCAGACCCTAAAGTCAGGCAAGAAGTCAGTTGCTTTTTCAGTGCCTCCAGTCTTTGAAAATTGGACAAGAATGGGATGTGCTTTGCATAGATTTCAGAGGCCGTGGAGGAGCATGCTCCAAAGCCACTTTAAGAATAAAGGTCTTGGGCAATCTGGAGCAGCCTTGGATAGGGGGACTGTCAAAAGAAAGATCCTGGGGAGTGCTGAGTTATTGGGGCAATTGTACTATTCCCCAAAACTTGGAGGACTTGGGGAATGCTGAAAGGAGGCCTTTTTGGGTGTGGTGGCTCTAGGACTGTGTTCAAAGCTTGGGCCTCTACTTTAGGCCCAATTGAGTGCCACTCACTCACTATTCAGGGTAACCTAGATGGGGGGGATAGAAAATTGCTCTGTGTATATGTGTGTGTGTGTGTGTGTGTGCGTGATATGAGAGAGAGAGAGAGAGAGAGAGAGAGAGAAGGAGACTAGTAGAATCAAATAGGCATTTTCTAAATTTCTATTTAAAATGTTTGGACCTCTGGCCCAGTTAGTCACGCATCATGCTCTGCCTACAATTCCCCATGCCATTTACGGGTTAGCACAGTTTAAGTAGCCAGAGATTGTCGCTTGCTTAAAAGAAAGGCATACTATATGAATGTTTTAATTTCTTTTGACTCTAACTGGGGTTTTCACAACATATTCCAACTTTTGACAAGGTCCCATCATAATAGTTATTTGGATCTGCTTACACTTTTCAGATGCTGAATTAATATTATTATTACTGTCTTTACATAGCTACCTTGCTTGACTTTCTAATTCATGTGGACTAGCCACGCAACTTTCCCACTGCAACAGTGACTCTGCGAAACAGCAAACAATTCACTTTTAATACAACGGGATGTTGTTGCTCTGATAGTAAGAGCAATTGTTTTTATCACTTTCAGGCTTTCTTTGTGAATGTGTTTTCATTAAAGGATTACCCTCTCCACAGTAATGTGAAGTGGGAGGCCATGACCCAAGTTTGACATATTGCTACATACTTGCCAAACATGGAGTTAGAAGTGCTGTTGCTACTAGTTGGTCCCCTTTCTAATCTGGAGTTCAACTACTAGACTTGAATCCTGTTAGTTATATGGAAGAATAACCAGCAGAAAATGGGCGTTGCAGGATAGCTCATGAAGTTAAGGAGTTAGGAGCAAGTCACTTCCCTGTTATTGCCAAAAGGGTCATGAAAAGGGTCTTTGAAGTCAACAGGAGTGAAGACCCTTTGAGACTGTAGTTTTATTACACCCATGTAGGACAGTGCGAGACACACTTCAAAAGGTTGCCAAAGGCCACTGCTGCCTGGAAGGCTGTGTGTGTGTTGAACATATCTACAGGGATGAGAATGACAAGTCAAAAGAGAGGCTAACGTGACCCCGACAGCAGCAGCTGAAGACAGTTAGATTTGGAATTGTACTCAAATCTCAATGCCTAATATTTTGTCTAGAAGCACAGAAGCCGGAATTTGAGACAAAACATTTTCTGTCGTCAAGCTTTATGTAATGATATATGGCGGTGACCTTGGGGAGTGGGGAAGGAAGATATGCTAAGGAACAATCAGATAAAAGAGACTGCATAGCCCAACATTTCATAAAGGCCAGAGAAAAAAACATTAGAAAGGAACAACCCCAACTTCTCAGGCTGAAAAAAAAAAAAAGGCTGCAAGAGATCTGCACTACCCGACTTGCAAGATTCTGTTACAATAAAGTAGAATTAACTCATCTGGTTATATCTCCTGTCTGGCAAAGTTGGCATCCATCTTGCAAATCTGAAAATACAACTTTCCTCTTTCTCCTTACAGCCAGAGGAGATTCCTTTCTCTCTCTCTTTGCCCGTTATGCAGTTGCGGGCTATGCCTTCTCTTATCTGATTCTTCTTCATACAGCTTCCTTTCTCCCTCCCTCATCTCCCAAGGCCACTTCTATACAGGTAGTCCTCCACGTGCAAGAGTTCATTTAGAGACTGTTCAAGGTTACAATGGCCTACGACCTGTTTTTCAGTTACGACCTATGAGCTGTTTTTCAGAGTTACGACCTTTGCAGCATCCCCAGGATCATGCGATTAAAATTCAGATGCTTGGCAACTGGTTCATATTTATTGTCAAGCCCAAAATTGACATATGTGTAGCCATTTTATTTAGGCTTAGTATATATTCTTTTTCTTACTTTCTCTTTCCTGACTATGGGGGAGTGGAGATAGAGTTGTTTAGGCTAGGTGATTCGTCTTCCCGTGGGAACACGAACTGACCGTGTTCAGCCCCCTTGAGGTGGAGATTTATGACATCAAGCAATGTTGAATTACTTCTATTGGAAAATATGACTTTTGGGGGTTGTTTCTAACTTCCAATATTATGTGGTGTAATTCGAGGTTGTGTCAGATCTGGAATTACCATGGACTTTGCCAATTTGATGCTTTCCTAAATAAACGAAACTGTTTTGGAAGATGGACTTTTTGCTCTTTTCATTTTAAATGGATTTCATCACTTGGAAACCTGACACTTATGACCATTGCTATGTCCCAAGGTCATGTGATCGATCCCCTTTTGCGATCTTCTGAGAAGCCAAATCAATGGAGAAGCCAGATTCATTTAACAATCAGGTTACTAACTTATCAACTGCAGTGATTCACTTAATAACTGAGGCAAGAAAGGTCACAAACAGGGCAAAATCCACTTAACAAATGTCTCACTTAACAACAGAAATCTTGGGCTCAATTGAGGTCATAAGTCAAGGATTACCTGTATACTATTTTATTGTGGGACATCCCAACAGAGTGAGTGTGGGCTTGCAATGTCCTATTCAGGATTTGATCTGATCAACCCTGACTGGTTTTAGCTATGCTTCTGCTATACCACATCTCCATTCCTTGCCTAACAAACTCCACAAACTGGGAGAGGTTGAATTTTTCCAGAGATCAGGACACCTCTGTCAAGTCTCAACCAACTGGAAAGACGATATTAAAGTAGGGTCCACCAATCTGTAACTTGATTAAGGACCTTTTGGTCCTACAGATAATGCTGGATCTCTTCCAGGTTTTAGCCAGCATTGATATATTTTAGGATAACGGGAAGCATTCAGCATTCAGAAGGCTACAACTTTAAACAGTGCAAGCTCTGTCTTACAAGACACCCTACATTTACCTTTATTCCATGCATTTAATGAAATGTTACTACACAGCAATTTATCTACAAAGATCGGAATCATGCAAATCATGGTATTGAGCGGTCTTTGGTGCTCTCTTGAGTTTGGCTGCAGACATTTCATTACCCAAATCATAATTGATTACCCAAATGAAGTATCTGATGATACTTCATTTGGGTAATGAAACATCTGCAAAAAAAACAGCCAAACTCAGAGAGCACCAAAAGACCACTTATTTCAACCCCGAGCACAAATATTCTACTTTATTGGTAAACCATGGTATTCCCTGGCATTATGGGAGCCAAGGTTGGCCTTTGTCGAAGCAAAAATAGGAAAGAATATTGAGCTCTTTGAACTTTGGTGTGTAGGAGAAGATTCCTGACTGTACCACGAACAGCCAAAAATACAAACCGAGGACTCATAAAAGAAATCAACCCAGTGTTTTCATTTGAGGCACGAATGACCAGGTTCAAATTATCCTACTTCAGACACGTTATGCGAAGATCGTATTCCCTGGAAGAAGACTCTAGTTAGAGTGATGAGATTAAGAGTAAGGGCAGATCATCATGGAGAAAATCTCAACAGTCACTAAGAGTCTGCAATGATTTGATAGCAGGTAATCATTACAAGTAGTCCTCAACTTACCACTGTTCACTTAGTGACCATTCCAAGTTACGACGGATGGCCATTTTTCACACGACCGTTGCAACATTCCCCATGGTCATGTGATCATCTGGCATGTCACCAGATTCACTTAACAATCGTGTTACTGACAACAACTGCAGTGATTCACTTAACAACTAGGATAAGAAGAGTTGTAAAATAGGCAAGACTCACTTAACAACTGTCTTGCTTAGCAACGGAAATCTTGGGCTCAATTGTGGTTGTTAGGATTACCAGTATGTGGCAACATTGTATGTTACTCTTTCAAGTGTCACAAGATGCTCTTATTACAGCCAAGTTGCTTTCCTTGTTCACGTTCTTTCCCATGCATATAAACATTCCCCCCCAACCTTTATAGAAAGGGAATTGTAAAATTTAAATCAAAAAACAAAACAAAAAGGAAAGTGGTTGTTTGATCCAAAGCCAAAATTGGCCCAGCCTGCAAAAATAGAAGCTGGTACAGCACAAAGGAACTATCTCATGTGTATGTCTGCATTACATCTACAGACAGGTATGTGAACAGAGAAAGAAAATTTATTTGGTGATTGCATTTTGTAAAATCCCATCTTCCTTTATTCCTCATTGCGTGTAGCATATCATTGTAAACATCTTTTGGGAGGGTGGGAGCGGGTGGAACTGCCATCGAGCCCTCTCCAAAAGTTCTTAACAACACTGTTACATGGAAAATTAAAAAGATTAGGAATCTCTCCAAAAGAGATTTTACACGTTTGTCCAGCATTCCCTTTCTGTACGAAAGAACCATTCTTCCCTTAATAGAAGAACATAGTTTAATCTCATAAGTCTTGCCTGGAGTGAATGTGGCTGCGTGTATATACATATACACACACATAGCAACCACACATTTTGTCTGTTTTACAAAAAAGAGATGAAATGAAACTATACATATATATATATATATATACCTATATATCTATGTGTGTGTATGTATTCATATAGATTTCATATTTAGAAGGGACACAAATGAGGTCTTGTGTTTTATCATTTCTGTACACATGATACCACACTGGGCAGTGCTGGGGGAAACAGGTGCAGTCACTTGCCTTTTTTAAAACTAAAAACAGAATAATATAACTGTAACGATTAAAACTAACGACCCCTAGCTTTGCCATCAGATGTGAAGTCCCCTTCGGCCAAGTGTGGAAATAAAATGAGTGACCAACCCGTTTGATTTAATTTGGCATTCTATAGACAGAGGAGTCTTGATGTTTACTGATCTCAAAAACAAGGATTTTTCCATTCAGGGAGTCCAAGACTTTGAGGGTTCCTCAAGAGGGCCATGTAAAGTCATAGTGGTAGGGATGAGTCCAGAAAACCTGGATGTCATGTCCACTTTTGTAGCTGGCTTGCCTGTCCCTTAGTCGTAACCCCACAGTCGATGGATGAAATGAGAAAGGGTTAAACTATGTGCAATCATCTGCTGAAAAAAAAACTATTTGTGTGACCAAGCCTAGGCACTAAGATCTGCCTAAAGGGCTCCTGGGTCATCCATATCCAAGTCCCATCCAAATGCCACACAGAACAGTGGTTTGCAGACATTATGGTCTCTGGTTGAATTGTCCTTTGGATCAAGAGTTCACCTACAAGTCAAACCCTAAGATACAGGTGTAGAGAGAATGTGCGTGCACATGTATGTGTTAGTGTGTGCAATACATCTTCCAACATGCTACAGAGCCCTTGTGTCTTCCAGGTATCTATGATGCCCAGCTCAACATCTTGGCTGCTGTCCTGTTCTGGGTGAGGGGCGGGACATGCCCACCCAAGAACTCTCCTTTTTTGCTAACCATGGTTAGTCCCTGCAGGTGGAAAGTGCTCACCGCAGATCTTTCCCTCGTTCCAAACATCTGTTGTTGGATTATTTGTTTGCCTGGTTTGGGAAGAGAGGGGGTCTGGGTTGAAAAACCAGGGTGGCCCTACCACCTCAGTGGCGGGATCTTGGAGAAGAGCACAGCGCCCTACTGTGGATTTTACAAGGTGCCGTGCTGAGATTCATATTTAGAGAGGATGCTGCGGTAGCGGCTTAGTTCCTGGCGGATATTGGCCACTTCTTGCCGAAGGACTGCGTTCTCCTTCTCCAAAAAAGCTGCCCGAACAGTGATTTGATTCTCTTTCAGGCGGCGAGCATCTCTTGAGCGTTTTGCTGCCTCATTGTTCTTGTACCGCCTGTTCCAATATTTTTCATCCTGGTTTAATATGAGGAAAAAAGTGGGGGGGTGGGAGAAGAAAAAAGTGACGTGTAGTAACTTTTTACAGTAGCACATTTTAAGTAACACATAAGCATTGTACAATAGATAATTCTGACAATTTCCCACAGGACTCTGGATCACTTAAATGTCCGTATGCAGTTCCTACATGGACTTGACAACAGTTGGCCCTCTATCCAATTCAGGGCAATGTTGGTGCTCTATGAAGCAATGCCCTGTATATGATTGCAGAGGATACCCATGGTCAAATCCCGAGTCAATCACAAAAAGGCACTGTGAATGAGTGACTTGAAATCTAAGTAAGGTTTGCCTTGCCCAGGTAGCAGACAGCCTTAGTTGATGATCTGGATGATCCAGGAAAGAGCAAATTCTGCCAGGTAGAATTTGGATCTGGCAAGTGAAGGCTGTAAATGCAACCATATCCCAAAAGGCAAGACTTTTAGATGCCTGCAGAGATTTAACTCTTAAAACATTAAACATACCGTGACTTGTATCCTGATGACTGATGGAGCCCAAAATTTATGTTGTGAGAAATTTGTTAAGTGAGCTTTGCCTCATGTTACAACTTTTCTTTGTATATTTGTTAAGTGAATCACTGTAGTTGTTAAGTTAATAACATGGTTGTTAAGTGAATCTGGTTCCCCATTGACTTTGCTTGTCAGAAGGTCGCAAAAGGGGATCACATGATCCTGGGATACTGCAACCGTCGTAAATATGAGTCAAGCATCCGAGTGTAGATCACACGAACATGGGGAGGCTGCAACGGTCATATGTATGAAAAATGGTCATGTCACTTTTTCCAGTGCTGTTGTAACTTTGAATGGTCACTAAGTGAACTGTTGTAAGTTGAGGACTATCTGTACAGTAAATTAAGCAACTCAACAAAAATGGTAAAACGATAACAGATAACCAAAAAAACCCAGACCTATTCAACTTCCATTTTGACTCTGTCTTCTCTAATTTGAAAAGCTGAAATGAGGGAGCAGGACTGAGATAAAGCAAGGAATTACAATTAATCCTCGATTTACAACCATAACTGAGCCCAGAGTAAGACATGCTGGCTGTTAAGCAGGTCACCCCATGCACAGCTTTGTAACCTTTTTGTCGTGGCCATTAAGCAAATGCTGCAGTCACTAAGCAACAGCCACAGTCACTAAGTTGTTAAGCAAATGCCTCAGTTGTTAAGTGAGCTCATTGTTTCCAATGGCTTGTGTTTGCTGGCAAAAACAATAAATTGTGGTGATGCTATGGGCCAGTTGCCAAGCGCCCAGATTATGTGACGGTGGAAGGTGGAGTGGGGGCAAGGGGAGGCTGCTGGAAAGTTGTAACCAGATTCTAAGTACCTTTTGAGGGGGTCCATTGTATCTTTGAAGAATTGCCCAACTACTGGTCATAAATTGAGGACTATCTGTAGCCTACAGTATCGGGCTCCAAAGCAGAAAATATATTTGAGAGCAGGTGTTGCTTGCTCTAACTGTGGGCAGCTCCTTTATTCTTTTACCTGGATTCCTTGTTGCTATCTTCCTAACTCAAACACATCTTTCCAGACCAGGAAAAGTTCTGAATGCACCTGTATTGGATCCAATGGCACCTTTTACACTCTGTAACCAACTGATTACGCACATCCGTAATAGTTGGTTACATTTCTACTGAAGAAATTTGTTTGATGGCCTGGTTGAACCATTGAGGAACCCTGGAGGGCTGACTGATCTAGTGACTGAAGAAGTACACACTTATCCCTATCTTCAAAAAAGGGGGAAAGGAGGATCTAAGAAGTCACAAACCTGTCGTTGATACCTGGGAGAATTCTAGGGATCATAAAGCGATTGATCTATAAACACCCTGAAAACAATGCAATAATTACCTGAAGTCAAGATGGCTACTTCAAGAACAAGTTTTTCTAAATTTATTTTACTTATTTTATTCTAGCTTCCTTGTAGATTAGGGGAATGGCAAAGAGGATTATTTTCAGATTACACAACTAATAGTTTCACTACATCCTACACAGGTCAGATTCCCCAGTCAAATTTGCAGCCAGTTCTTCAAGGGCATTTGCACTTGGGGGAAAAAAAAAACCCAGTGAAACCAAACCAACTGGTTTGGAAAAGATCAATGAATGTGATCCTGGAACAAGGAACCAAGTTCTATAAGGACAGAATGGAAGAACGGGGCACAGCCCTATAGAAATACTTTAAAGGGTGTCATGCGTGAACAGTACAGCAGAATATGGAGTGCTGGATTTACATTACAAAAAGGCTTTGTAGATCAGAAACACACTTCTAAAACACTTTGGCAGTAGAATATGACTCTGGGAGATGGCTTGTTTTCCTTCACAGATGCATTCAAGCAGAAACTGAAAACCAGATTAAGAAGAAGACTTAATCTGGTTTTCTGTGCTGAGCAGGGAATTGGACTAGATGGCACTAAATATCCAATACCCAATCTTTCTTCAACACGGCCTGCAGATGTACAAGATTCCACTCAGAATTCTTAGCAAGGGACATGAAGGTGCCCCAGGTCTTCGGAATGAGGGTGGGATATAAATCAATAAAGAAACAAATGCCAATAAAGGCATTCTGACAGCCAAGGGATATATATACACCACTGATAAGGACCCCAGTTTGGGAAAAGCAATCAAATGAATACCAGATGAAATCCTTCAAGGCAGTGGTCTCGAATTTTTGTGGCACCAGTTTCGTGGATGACAATTTTTCCACAGACTGGGGTGGGTGGGGATTGATGGTTTCACACGCAACCTAGATCCTGCGCATGCACAGATGACGGTTCGCTTGCCTGCCCACTGCTTGCATGGCCCGGTTCCTAACAGGCCATGCACCGGTACCAGTCCATGGCCTGGGGATTGGGGACCCCTGCTTCAAGGTGTCTGACCTTTTCTAAAAATTCTCATTCTTTCTGTATCATTCCCCTCCCCCCCGCCCCATTAAAAAAGCCATTACAATGGAGGGATAGGACTAGGGAGATGGGAGTACAAATCCTCCCTCTACCATAAACCTCCCCTGAGATTCACTCCTGTTTTTAGCCTCACTGTTGTAAGTAGGCCTAGGTTTAGGGGAAGGCCTAAACCTCCTATTTTCATTTCCCTGTCTTTAGGGCCATGGACATTTTGAAAATACTTAGACCTAAGCTGACCAGCTCAGGACCTCCCTGCTGTTCATTAAACCATGCATTTTCTTTTTAGCCTGGAAAAGGTCATAGAGGTAGTCTTTGACTTAATGTTCACATTTGGAACCAAAATTTTAGTTACTAAGCGATGCAGTTGTTAAGTGAGTCTTTAAGTGACCAGATCTGTTTTTACTGGAACTGGGTATGTCTAGTCCGATGAAAAGAAGGACTCGGGGTGACATGATCAAGCAGTGTTCCTATATCTCAGGGGCTGCCACAAAGAAGAGGGAGTCAAGCTATTCTCCAAAGCCCCTGAGGGCAGGACAAGAAGCAATGGATAGAAGCAACTAAGGAGAAATTTCCTGACAGAAAAATTAATCAGTGGAACAAACTGCCTCCATAGGTTGTGAATGCTCCAACCCTGGAAGTTTTTAAGAGGAGATTGGATAGCCATCTGTATGAAATGGTGTAGGGTTTCCTGCCTAGGCAGGGGGTTGGACTAGAAGCCCTCAAAGGTCCCTTCCAATTCTGTTATTCTATTCTATTCTATTCTATTCTATTCTATTCTATTCTATTCTATTCTATTCTATTCTATTCTATTGTCAAGCCCGAAATTGACATATGTATTTTAGTTAGGCTTAGTATATATTATTTTTCTTACTTTCTCTGTGGCAGTCATGGGGGGAAGAGTTTTGGGCTTGCCACATTTTTAAGGAGGGGAGGAGTGGAGATAGAGAGAGTTGTTTAGGCTAGGTGATTCTCCTTCCTGTGGGAACATGAGCTGACTGTGTTCAGGCCCCTTGAGGTGGAGATTTATGACATCAAGCAACGTTGAATTACTTCTATTGGAGAATGTGACTTTTGGGGATTGTTTCTAACTGCTAATACTGTGGAGTAATTCTGGAGTTGTGTCAGATCTGGAATTACCATGGACTTTGCCAAATTGATGCTTTCCTAAATAAAAAAAATGGTTTTGGAAGATGGACTTTTTGCTCTTTTCTTTTTAAATGGATTTCATCACTTGGAAACCTGACATCTCATCTCATCTCATCTCTTCTATTCCTGTTTCTATTCCTATTCTATTTCATTCTATTCTATTCTTCTACTGTGATCATTAAGTGAATCGCATGGTCATTAAGCAGATCCACCTTCCCCAACTGACTTTGCTTGTCAGAAGCAAAGTAGAAAGGCGGCAAATCATGATCATGTGACTGCAAGATGCTGCAACAGTCATAAATGCAAACTGTTTGCCACGCACCACATTGTGATCATGTGATCACAAAAGTGACGTGATGGTCATAACTTCAAGGACCCGTCATAAGTCCTTTTTTCCCTAAGGCCATCATAACTTCGAAACTATTGTTAAATGAACCTGTCAGAAGAGAAGGACTATATAAAAAGCTGTTTAAAGAACAGCTGGGCCTGCGCTGATCTAAACTCCTCCTCCTAAATCATTTTCAACCAACTAAATAGTCCCTGTATTTATTATGCGTGCAATGAACACATAAAATTGTTTATGATCTTGTTTTTATTGCTTGGTTTGTGAGTAACTTTGTACTAGTTTGTGAGTAACTTTGTTCTCTCTTTATCTGAATAACATACTCCCTTCCTTAAAGAAACATCCAAGCTATTTCAACCACGTGAAGGAGAATGGGAAAATGAAAGCGAAAGGTCTCTGAACCCCAAAGCAGCGGCCTATCCTTGTTCCCAGCTCACCTTCTGATCATCAGGAACCTGTATTTTCCGGGCCTTTTTCATGATCGGCTGGGGCTTAAGCTCCTCTTCTGAGAACCGATGCTTGCGAGGGTCAAAGGTCTCGTGGCCTGGAATGCTGGACAATGCCAAATCAGCAGGGTCAGGGTCAAAATTCATGAGGACTTCCACAGCCTCGGGATCTACTGGGCTGGGTGTGCTTCGGGAAACTGGCGTGATAGGACCTGAGGCAGGTTAAGGAAGAAGGAGGGTGAATTTTGCACAAAGAGAGAAAGCATCAACAAAAGTTACCTGCGGGTCCCCCCCTACTCCTTCCTGATGATCATATATCCAACCATCCCCTTTCTACTTCCCGGTGCCCCTCAACTTTTCAAGAAAGGGATTAACAGATATTGTGGAGAGCAACCCAGTACATTTAAGTGCTCCCGAGGCAACTGCACAGACCACAAAGATCAAAGGGGCTGAGGAATTTATGCAGGTTAAACAGCACCCGAACAACCCCATTGAAGTAGAGATGGGTTTTCTGGTGCACTCCATGTCTGACAGGACCCAAGAAACACTCAGAAAGAGGGCATAGCGACAAACTTGTTCAGGCCACCCCAAATCAAGGGATGGTTGATTTAAAAAGAGTGTTTTTCCACTTCAACAACTTTAAGAGGTGTGGACTTCAACTCCTAGAATTCTGGGAGTTGAAGTCCATATCTTTTAAAATTATTGAGATGGAGAAACACTGCTTTAAAAGCTTATTAAGTTACTCTGCCTGGAAAAATCAGGGGATGTGGCAGGGAAGGAGAAGGTTATGTTGTGCTTAGCAGAACCAGAGGTGCCTTGAAGTTGTGCAATGGATGAGGAGAGCACTTGCCAGGAAACAGGGACTCTTAACCCTTAACTCTCCCCCAAGTCCTCAACCTGGAATGCCACCCCACCTTCTAACTCCAAATTTCCTGGTTCCCCCCTCCCTCTTCCTCAAGATTTAGGACCTAGAAACTAGAAATGTAGGTCACAAAGCAATATAACCTTCATAAATTATAATGTGGAGTTTTAAATGCCCACACCAACAACAACCTACAACTCAATCAGATGCTAAGCCCCCATCCTGGAGCCAAAAGCCCCTTTTGTACCTACCCTCCATTTCCTGTTCTAGCCAACGTTTTCCCTACCAGCATTCAAGCTTTTCCTTGTTAGCAAACCATCTCCTCTTTCTCTGTAAACAAATCAATGCTGTCTTTTTCCCTTCTACTGTAATAGAGCAGAGGAACTCAGGTGCTCCTGCCTGCTGGAGAACCCAGGTACCCTGGTTCCCCCCTCCCCCAGACATCTGCCGGTCATCCCTTCTAATCTCCCCCCCGCTTGGAGACCCCAAATGACCGCCCTGCTGGAGTGCTCCACCCGCCTCCCTTTGGAGGAGAGCCCCACAGCTATTCCGCCCCGCTTTGCAAGCCCCTGCGGCTGGCCCCTTGTGGGAAACTGTCCGCTGGGAGAGCCACACAGTCACCCCTAAGAGAAGCCCTGCCTGCCTGCCTGCCTGCCTCACACCGCAGCCCCACGTGCCTGCTTGCCCCGCCCTGCGCTGAGGAAGGGGCAGGCTGCCAGCTGGCAGGAGCGATGAGAGCGAGAGCGCAGAGCCCAGCCGAGCGACATGTGTTCGCAGAGGCAGGGTGAGAAACGTGAGCGAAAGCAGGAGGCTCCATGCACAGACACGAGACTGGGCCTTTCCCAGCAGGGCGTGGTTGACACAGGGCTCTGGCACACCAGTAACACGGGATTCCCCGCAGCCTCCTGGCACGCTAGGGCAGGGCCTCTACTCCAGGACACGTGCAAACACATTCAAACATGCTCTTTGAGGTGGCAAAGAGGGGAGGGGGGGAAGAGACCCACAGCTGATGCTCAGGAAAGGAGAAAACTTCATCCCCAGGAGTTCTCCCTCTTAAACGTGGAGGAAAGGCCTGACGTTTTAGGTTCTCCAGGTTACGGGGCAGTGTTTGTGCAAAAGAGAGGCTTTTCTGTTTTTAAACATTGGCTGCAGTATTCAGGAATGCTAACATAGCTGATGAAGCAACAAAGGTGGTGGTGGAAGGATACGTGGTAGAGGGCAAATATCAGGCTTCCAGGCTTCCTGGAAGGCAAAATATTTTTTAGATGGGAGAGAATATTTGTAGTTTGGGGTTGAATTGTAGGGTCCTTTGTGCTCTCTGAGCTTGGTGGTTTTCTTGCCGGAGTTTCATTGTCAAACTAGGTGACATCATTAGCGCACTGATGATGTTACCTAGTTTGGTAATGAAACATCTGCAAGACCACCACCAAGCTCAGAGAGCACAAAGGATCCCACAGTGTGTTTAGAGGATGGAGTGACTTAAATGTAAAAACATTTAGAGAGGGGAGGCAATTTGTGTTTAATGTTCTGCCCCTTCCCCACTCCCCCCAGATATAAGAGAGCTCCGGGTACTTTCTTTAGATTTAAATAAAAGAGAAAAATATTTGCAATGGACTTAAATCCACTGATTAATAGATCTGGGTGAATAAAACTATATATGTGTTCATTTCACACAACGTGTTCAAACAATTAAAACTATATGGCATAATGTAATGGCCTGTGCATAAGATGATGGCTTGATTGTCTTTCCATGCTGGGCCACCAAACTCCATGGAGTTTTAGTGTGTTGTGAGAATTCAGCTTATGTCTTACAAGGAAGAGATGGAGCATTCAGAAATGCTGGGTGTTCCAATTAACATTGAGCTAACTGAATTAGAGAAAGTGAAGGATTATAATTGAGAAGAAACTTTATGGGAGGTGGGGGAGATAGGAGGGATGGTGTGTTGTCGAAGTTTGAGGGAGACATATATATTTATCAATTATAGGAATTAGAAATTCACTTGAAAACCTGCATCATCTTGAATATCAGTTTAATTGCATCACTTTTGCACTCTACTGATGACATTGTCTGACGGGATCAAAATATTAGTGATGTGCAAATCAACCTGGAGCACCACTGGTCTGAGTCCAGAGCAGTGTCTCTCAACCTCAGCAATTTTAAGTTGTGTGGACCTCAATTCCCAGAATTCCCCAATCAGCTATGCTGGGAATTGAAGGAATTCTGGGAATTGAAGTTCACACAACTTAAAGTTGCTGAGGTTGAAAAACATTGCTCTAAAGCACAATTCTGGCGTTGCATATCCTCCAGGGAGCTCCAAACACTATGGATGGGATCATCATCCCCATTAACTTGCACTCTTGATATTTTTCACCGTAAACTGTAGGCACCAGTTTTCCATCCAAAACTCTGTAAACTTCCTCCTTTCCTCCAACTTCTCAACAATCACACTTCTAAATGGAAGCCAAAAAGCAATATTCAGAATCAAACCTGGTACATCACTTTCTAAATATTATTCAACTCAAATTTCTTATTATTCTGTTTTCAAAAATCCACACACTCTATCTTTCTATTGGGAATCAGAACAGGGCTCAGTCAGAAATGAAGTCTAAATAGAATAGAATAGGATAGGGTAGGGTAGGGTAGGGTAGGGTAGGATAGGATAGGATAGGATAGAATCCTTTATTGGCCAAGTGTGATTGGACACACAAGGAATTTGTCTTAGTACAAATAAAAATAAAAACAATATTATTACCACTCTGAGGTGGGGTTTGCACAATGCAGTGGATTTGGTTACAGAATTAATCCATTTTCTGATAGTGCTGAACCATAAACTATTCAAACAGGCTAGACTTGTACAACATGCTAATCCTTCTACTAAAGCCCTAAACAAGGTTAATACTAACCAAACTTAGCATGTTGTGCAAATCCAGAAAAAGAAATGGAAGTTTAGAAGTAATTGTTTTCAGCATGGGAGTTGAACACAATACCCAATTCAAACTTCTCAGACATCCCTGGAGCCTATGAGACTGTTAAAGTAATAGTAAAGTTGAGTTTATGCATTAATTTGCAATGTTTTTACTGTTGTAAACTGTCTTAAATCTCCATCTCTTTCTATGTACTTTTTAATACAGTGATTCTATTATAAAATGGGATTTTCATCCATTGGATCAATTCTCAAGAGGTGTATCTCTAGCTGTATGGACTTCATCTGCCAGAATTCCTTGAAATATCTATAATTAAAATTCCCTGACTGGGAATTCTGGAAGTCCACACATTGATAAAGACTTCAGTGAACTTTTGATGAAGTCAGGGTAAACCTATTTTCAGAACATTGTAACTTTAGTTGCTTCTAATCTAGATTATTCCATAAAATCTGTTTTCCGATCCTCTCCACCATAAAAATAACTTCAAACTTCTCCGAAATTCTAAAACTTCCAATAGGTAGAGAAAAGAATTCTTATAAAAATCAAGATGGGATTAAAAATAACGTTCCTTCCTGGGTGCATGGTGTGTGCTAGCAGTACACAATTCGTTGTGTACCAGTCTGTATTTGGCATGTGAAAACTAGACTAGGAATGAGAAGTTAACTTCTCAGCAGCCAGGAGAAGGCTGTCACTGCTACCACAACCAGAAGGTAGGACTGAAAACTATTTACAATTAGGAGGAGATGAAACTGAGAGTTCTTGCCACAATTAGGGAGGAGCACGAAACTGCCTTCCTTCCCCCCCTCTAACCCAGTGAGGGTGCTACAATATTTTTTTTATCACCTCCACACCACTGCTAAGCCTGCATAATACACCATGTTTCAAAGAATAGCCTTTCTGAAGTTATCTGTGGAGATTCTCAGTCATCCAGGTCGGTCATAACTGTCTCAAAGTTGTTTTTTCTCCTTCAAAACGGTTGTGTTTTCCTTGAGGAAGAAGAAGGAAAGAAGAAGAAAACATTTTGCTTCTCATCCAAGAAGCTTCATCAATTCTGATGAACCTATCTTTTCATTCCCCCCACCATCAGAACTGATGAAGCTTCTTGGAATGAGAAGGAAAATGTTTTCTACTTCTTTCCAACTGTCTTTTGAAGAAAAAAAAAAAGCACCTTTTTGTTAATCCAACAATAAATATATTTGTAATAATTTTAGGGTTCTTTTTAAAGTAAGAACTAATCAAATAGGACATACAAGAGTAGCACAAGGGTCAAAATATTTTAAAATTGAGATCTGGAGCAGAGGGAAGAAAAAAAACGTACTTTTCTCTGCTCAGCGCACTAAGTCCTTTTCTCTTCATATAGACTTAGCCACAGGAAGAAAAGTAGCTTGGAAGGAATGATTCAGAAAAGAAAAAAAAACCCTACATACACTCTTCTCTTTTGGTGCTCTTTCATTGCAAATCATGGCTTCCACAATCTATTTTTGTATAAAAAATGCTTGGTTACATGCATCCATTTGTAACCTGGATGCAGGTCCCCAAATCTTTGTCTTTAAAAAAAATGTAAATTACAATATGACGTTGCCCCTTACAACTTCAAAGGACAAGTTTAAATTATGCTTTCTTGTTATCCCATAGAGCAGGGGTGAGGTACAATAGTCTCTTTATGACTTGTGGACTTCATGGCTGGCTGAAGAATTTTGGGAGTTGGAAGTCCACAAGTCATAAAGGGGCCATCGTTCCCCACTTCTGCCATAGGGGCACTGCAAAAGGAAAATAAAACAAGGCATATAGCAATGCAACTCTAATTTGTACTCTAGCTTTATAATGGTGTTCTTTATAATACTATCAACAAATATTTGTGTGGGCAACTAGGTTTTAGGCCTACAATCAGTGTGTGCTGGTTGTGACATCTAAAATATTTGGAAGCTGAGGAAAAAAACCTAGACTGTGGGGTCCTTGGTGCTCTCAGAGCTTGGGAGACGTTTTATTATCCAACTAGGTAATACCATCAGTGCATATGTTACTTGGTAGAGTAATGAAATGTCTGCAAGAAAACCACCAAGCTCAGGGAGCAACAAGGATCCCCACAGTTCAACCCTGAGCTACAAATACTCTCTTCTATAGAAAAAACAGACTTGGAGAAAGAGTTAAAAGGATATTCTTACATTTTTCTTACAAATCTCATCCCAAAAACGGGAGAACCACAGGAGCCAATCACTAAGTTTTCACCTTTTCTTCCCCTATTCACCATCTTCTTGCCCAATGTACAGTCAAATTTACCTGTCTTGCTGCAGTTTTGGTCATAATCACTGCCAACTAGACCTTCACCAGATGAAGAACAGGCTGAAGACGATGACGCACAAGAAGCCGGCCGACTAAGATCCACCACTACCCCACTCGAAGGCGAGGCGGTGGGTTGGCTGCCTGGGGAATAGGACTGATGGGCTGGACTTGGGGGCAAACCATTTTCCAGCAAAAATTCATCCAAGTCGACATACTCAATCTCATTATAGGGCAAGGTGCGTTCCCACAGCAGGGACCCCAGATATGCACAGTGCCCAGGTCTTGAGACGCTCAGATCGTCCTCCATCTTACGTTCCTTGTCTTTGATCACACCTGCAAGGGAACAGAAGCAGCAGGGGAGGGCAAAAAGGAGAAACGCAGGTTAAAGAACAAGATGTATGTATGATCTAAGAATAGGAATGTACTGAAATGCGATCAAAAACAAGACAGGCAATTAACTGGAAAGTCAGAATCTGGAAAATTAGACCAGAATTTGCTCATGCTGCGAGGAGAAGGCTGAAGGTGGAAAATCTGTGATAAGATGCTTAAGGAAACTGCAGTGCTTTCAGAAACAAAGTGGACTTGGACAAGAAGAGTTGTTAATTAATGAATTAATAATTGTTTCCCTGATATACTACATATTAAAGCTTAAATTTTGTACTGTAAAGGGACAAGGGGTATATCTGGCCAAAGCAGCTTATAATTAAAAAAGAAGGAACTAATGTGAAGAGGAAAGGGGAAAATAATGAATGAGTATAAATTACAGCTACGCATATTTAAGCCATTCAGTCAAAGGTGATATTCTTTTAAAAAAGAGGTGGGGCACTATGGCCCTTTTATAACGTGGACTTCTACTCCCAGAATTCCTGAGCCAGCATGGCTGGCTCAGGAATTCTGGGAGTTGAAGTCCACAAATCATAAAAGGGCCGTTGTTCCCCCACCCCAGTTTTAAAGGAAAATACGATTCAAAGGGAATGCAAAATGCCTTTAGCAATGATAAGATCCTTTCCCAAACCAAACGTTAATCCTTCTTCAAAAGCAGAAAACATTAAACCACATCATCTTCCAACTCCAGCAAATTAAAAATGTTTAGCTCCAATTCCATTTATAGTTCTCTAACCTTGCCTTCAGAAGTTGTGGGAGCTTCATCTCTGGAGGCTTTCAAGAAGAGACTGGACTGCCATCTGTCAGAAATGGTGTAGAGTCTCCTGCTTGGGCGGAGGGTTGGACTAGATGACCTATAAGGTCCCTTCCAATTCTGTTAATCAATCTCTCCCTCTCTCTCTCTCCCCCCCCCCCCTCCTTCCTCCCCCCCCTCTCCCCCCCCTTCCTCTCTCTCTCTCTCTCTCCCTCCCTATCTCTATCCTGAATTTTTGGAAATGGCAATACAGGTAGTCCTTGACTTACAACCATTTGCTTAACTACTATTCAAACATATAACAATCCTGAAAAAGATAGTCTTCACACTTATGACTGTCTCAGTGATTACATGATCAAAATTCAGGCACTTGGCAACGGGCAAGTATTTACAATAGTTGCAGTGCCCAGGGCTCATATGATCACCATTTGCAACCTTCCAAAGGGGCTTTTGACATGCAAAGTCAGAATGCGGGAAGCTGGATTTGCTTAACAACAACAGCAAAAAAGATCATTAAATCAGGCATTATTCACTTAAAAATTGCCCACTTAGCAATGGAAGTCCCAATCCCAATTATGGTCATAAAGTGAGAACTTCCTATATGTAACTGGAGGCTTCAGAATACCAAATTTCCCTTATCATGCCTAGCCTCCCTACTTAGCGCAAGATTATTTAACAAAGTCAAGAAAGGATATGTCTGGAAGGGATATGGAATGCGATGTAAAAAATAAAAATGTTATTATAAGTTATTATAATTTGCCGGTTAAGTAAATTACACTTAGCACAGGTCTGTTTGAATCAAAGAGATGGCTGTACCATCAAGTTACGTACAGGGATTAAAGTGTGTCAAGTAAAATAATCATTCCAAGCTAATAATCACCACAACTGAACAGATAGTTCTCGAGTAAGAACAGTTTATTTAGTGAGCATTCAAAATTACAATGGCACTGGAAAAAGTGACTTATGAACATTTTTCACACTTACAACCTTTGTAGCATCCCTATGATCATGTGATCAAAATTCAGATGCTTGGCAATTGCTTCATATTACGACTGTTGCTATGTCCCATGGTCCTGTGATCCCCTTTTACAATCTTCTGACAAGCAAAGTCAATGCCAGATTTGCTTAACAACCGTACTACTAAATTATCAACAGCAATGATTTAACAACTGTGGCAAGAAAGATTGTAAAATGAGGTAAAACTCACTTAACAAGTGTCTCACAACAACAGAAATTTTGGGCTTAATTGTGGTGGTAAGTCAAGGAATACAGCAAAGATTTTTACAGGTGTAGCTCCATTATTTCAGAGGAAGAAAAAGTTGGCTTGATGTTAGAATATAAGATTTGGAAATATTAATTTAGGCCATCCATCTGCTTGTTCTGTTCAAAGATTTAAAGGTTCCTGAACAGATGGCCTTCCAGCTTTGGCTTGAGTGCCCACACGAGAAACCCACCACATCTCAGCTATGGGCTTCCTAATATTTTCGTTGTTTTTTAGTTTCTCCTGATATTCACTTGCATGGATGCAATTCTGGCAGTTTTTGTTAAAGTATTTACCATTTACCAAGAGCTGCAGTGGCGTACTTGTTAGAATGCAGTACTGCAAGCTACTTCTGCTGATCACTGGCTGCCTGCAATTTGGCAGTTCGAATGTCACCAGGCTCCAGGTTGGTCACCAGGCTCAAGGTTGACTCAGCCTTCCATCCTTCCGAGGTGGGTAAAATGAGGACCCAAGTTGTTGGGGGCGATATGCTGACTTTGTAAATGCTTAGAGAGGGCTGTAAAGCACTGTGAAGCAGTATATAAGTTTAAGTGCTATTGCTATCACCATCTACCATTTATGATACTTAGACTGAAACCACCTACCCACTGCATTCTATAATTAAGGCTTTGTTGGAAACTATTCTAATTGTACATTAGTGCTTCTCAACCTTAAGATGTATCCTAGGAATACATCTAGGAATTCTGGGAGTTGGAAGTCCACCCTTCCTAAAAGATGCTGAAGGTGAGAAATGCTACTTTTCAGGGACCCATAAAATCAGAGGCCCACTATATAATCCAGATTCCAAGCTTTTTAAAGTTTTAAAGTGGTTATGCAAACCAATAATCCCATACGTATGGGTATCTGCAAGAGGGGGAAAGGGACAAATGAGGGGGAAGAAAAATAACCAGAGAAAATCACCACACAAACACCATAACTTACACCCTTGCATCGGATATCAGGATGCAAATGCATAAAGAGTGGCAGCTGTGTGATGGTGTAACCAGGCACATGTTGGTATTTTGCCATCTCTCCTGTTTGCTGTAGATAATGCTGTCCCACATTCTACCTCTGATCTCCTTGGTGGCTTCATGCAAACTCAAAATGAAATTTCCCCCGGGTTAATCGGCAGCTGATACCTTAAAAATTTGACTTTTTTTTTTTTTTAATGTGCAATGCGAAAATCTGTTTTGGGTTCAAAGCTGCCTGCTTCTATCATGTTGCTTCAGTCAATTCTGTTCTGAATTTGGAAGGATCCCAAATGATCAGAACAGCCTGCTTCACCCTTGAAGCAACTGCCTCAGATTAAAAACGGGAAAAGGTTTCAGATCTGAAAGATTCTCCACTCCCTTAGTAACAAATTAAGGATGCCAAATCTTTCCCTCTATCTTTCTGCCATTGTGCCAATCTTTGCCAGGATTTGCATGATTGCTCTGGGGTGGTTTTGTTTTGTTTTTTTGCATTGCAGACTTGGACATGTATCTGCTCCTGTGCTGGATCACGTGTTTTTATCTAGCTTTTTAAATATCTGGCAGCGAGGCCAGATTAAAATGCTCCTAATCTATGGTTGTGGTTAAAACGAAGGACTGAGAAGCAAGGACAACTGTAGATCACTGAGGCTGTAAAATGCAATCGCTGGTATCTGTAGTGTAAAACTGCTGAAATTTGCCCAGGACTAATCTTCACTTTCTCCGCCCCAAGGCCTGCCTGTTGTTCAGCAGCAAAATACAAGCGCGGCTTTACCCCAGCTGACCCCTGCTGCGCTCAGCCGTATCTGATCGGCTTCATCAGTGCGCCTGTTCCTTTGCTGCCCCTTGCCAGCCAGAAGCTCAGAGGAGGCAGCCGGGAAGGCGGCTCTTTTCGGAGAAACTGGCCTTTCAAGGGAACTCACTTCTCAGTGAGTTTAATACAGGCACACACCTCAGAACCATTAATCTAGGGAGACGGTATGGCAAAAACAAGCATTTTCTGCCTGAGGCTAATCCCTGAATCCACTGGGTTCAGATATTATTCAATTTGCTCCTGCCTAGGGGCGAAAGGGATCCATTTTCCACCACCATCACCACATACACGCTGCCCCTTTGGTTGCCCCAGTGTTTACAGCAGACGTTATTCATGAGTGGGCTCAAATAGAGGATAGTGCCAGGAGGTGAGTGGGAGAAGATACAAACATTTCTTCAAACGTCCTTGATGTGACACCTACCATCTACCTACCTACACACACACACACACACACACACACACACACACCCCTGCACCCTTTCTCCACTGCACCTGGGCTGTCTGTGTTCCCTCCTCAAAACACCAGGTCTCTGGAAGCATAGGTGATTGTCTGCTTTATAGGTGCCCAACCCACATGACGAGGTTCAGACAGGCCTGGGAGTGGTGCTCCATACCTGAACTCTTATGCTGCCTGTACACGTGGAAGAGTAGTCCAGACCCAGCTGATGGGCTGTGGCGACACCAACCTGGCGCCCCGAAACTGGGCGAGTCACTCCCAACGCCCCATGATTAGATTAAACCCACATACAATTCCCAACTGTGAAGAGATGCCCCATACAGATTGATCCTAGAATATTTTCTCTCTTCCCTTCCTCCTTTTCCTCCTCCTCCTCCTCCTCTTCTTCCTCCTCCTCCTCCTCCTCTTCCTCTTCCTCCTCCTCTCTTCTTCCAATGCCTGGATCCACCCACACAACTACCTGAAACTGGCAATTATGAACTGCAGGATGAAATCTTGACTCAGTCACGGGACTCATCAGAACAATCCGTGGCCATTTTTTTAAAGCCTCAGTTTTCCCCATCTGTAAAATGGGAACAATGTACTACAAGGATAAAATGCCTGCAGAAGATAAAGAACAGCAAAGAACAGGAGAAAGAAAGAATACTGCTGATATTATTTACAATATGGGAAATGATACAGTGGAAAATAAAAATAATAAATATTGTCTTCATTCCTCCTTTGCCTTTAGTCCTGGTTCTTAAGCATGAAGATTTTTCCTGTGTTACCCTAAAATTACCTCCTAAGCTGCTTCCTCACTCCCCCAAAATTTCCCATAAATCCTCCCCATGGCCAATTTAACGTAAAGCTGGACTTCAGCATGTGAGCCTCGTTTTCTAATTCTGCCCCACTAGCTATTGCAGGGGTGAAAACTGTTTCAGAATACAAAGTACCTCAAGGCTGAATTCACACAATATATTTAACCTGCATTATTCCTAGGTATGTATTATATATGTACAGTAAACAGAACCATCAGGCAATCCTAGCTTAGGGTCCACATAATAATCTCACCCATAAACCACCTAAGATACTACTTTTGTAACTAATGTGGCTCAGGATATTTGGGGATCAGATGCTAAAAGGAATATAATGAAATGGAGCAGGGAAATAGCTAATGCTGACCATTCAGGCTGTGGCGCCATGCGGAGTGAACACAAGATTTTTTTTTAACAATTATTATTATTTTGAACCCAGGCTCGGCCTGCCTGCGGCAGTCATATCCCAAACAAAATAATCAAACCTCCAAACACAGAAGCCAGCACCAAGCAGCCTTCCCTGTGGTTGGAGTTATCAGGAACAAACTGAGCCCCCGCCAGCCAGCGAGCCAGCCAGCGAACGTAGACAACACAAAGAGGAAAAAAAACAAGAGCAGAAGGCTCTCCAAAGCAACATAAAATCATGCACGTGGCAGGAAGAAAAAAACGTCAACAACAACCCTTGAACGTTAATACGGATGGTCAAGGTTAGCATCCGCTCCTGAAATCCGAGGGGAGGAGAGGAGAGGGAGGAGACGCACGTGAAAGAATATGTCCCCCAATGCAGGCATCCCTGCAGGACTTCTTGGGGGAAGGGGGGGGGGGGCTTAAAACACGCAACGGTCTCTCCCCTCTGTGCACACACGGATCTTGTCTTAATGAGGGTTGTGCAGCTAGGAGGAAAATAAATATTAAATAAGGATTAAAAGGGGAGCCCATAGAAGATTCTGCCCAGGTAGGCGAAGGGATCCAACGGGCACCCTTCAAACCTTGATCTGGCTTACCAGCTGCCCATCCCCACATCATGGTCTCTATGCCGAGATGCCCACCATCTGTATCCTTCTGTCCATCTCTCATCCTGACTGCTGCTAAACTAGAATATAAATGCCAGTTTGTGGAGAGCAGGCGCTCCCTCACACTTTTCTACCCCCTCCCCTCCCCTTCTTTCTCCTGGGGTGGGGGGAGGAGTTTGCTGACCCCGGGGGGAAATGTTGTGATTGTCCCCACAATATCCCGGCTGCTGCCACCTCCACCTCCCTTGCTCGCCCGCCCGTTGTCTGATTGCTCGTGTGAAAAGTCTTAGAGATTGTTTCCTGGAGCGAAGCTCCACGCCGGCACGTTTCGTTCCCTCCTGCTGTGTCCCGTGGCTGAGCTGTGTGCAGCTTTAAGGGATTTACTGCTGCCAGCCAGCAGATGTAAGTGTGTGTGTGTGTGTGTGTATGCACGCGCATGTACAGAAACACCCCTTGATGGATCACCCTGGAAAACCCTGACTAGTTGGCATTTCTCCAGCAGCAAAACTCCAGGAATCCTGGCTCCCCAAACCTTCTCTCCGAGAGAGCCTTAAAAGATCCCCCTCCCAGCTCAGAAATCCAAAATCTCTCTGCTAATCCTCTCCTGGTCCCCTCCTGCAAGGAGACCAGGACAGCCATTTTTCCACCTGAAAACCTGATACCCTCCCCCCACCAAGCCTCCCATAATAATTATTTTTTTTAAAAAAAAAACCCTGTGATGATCCTGGCATGATGAGGCATTAGGGGGGGGATTAGAAAACACTAGAATTCCCAAATTCCGTTTTAAAAAGGAAGGAACCGCAACGGCAGGCATGGCAAGTCCTTTTTAAAGATGTCATTTACAGGGAATGGGGAGAAGGGTAAGTTTTAGGCTTGGAAATTCCTCTCACACACACACACCCCTTACTCCCCCCATTCTGATCTTTAAAAATCCTGGCTCCCACCGACATCTTGGCCAAAGGTTTCTGGAAGCGAGCATCTTTCATATGGGTTGGACTACAACGCCCACCCTCCCCTTCCAACCACTGTTGCGGTCCACTCTAGCTGAAGGGTGCCAGGTTTGAGGAGGGCAACTCAGAAGTGCTGTGTATCTAACTCCACCTATTATACTGTATACTGTTTACAAGGGCTTTGGTCTCCTGTGGAATGCTCAGATCTGAGCCCTTCCCAGCCAAAAGCTATGATAGAACAACCCAACCACCCCGCTTCTTCTTCCAAAGCTTCGTTTGATCCCTTCGAAATTAAAACAGGGCTGAGGCTTCCATGCACAGGAGCTCTTACAAGCAAATTCTTGAAAAAGTATCTTCCTTGAACACAAACCTTGTTTTTGCAATTCACAGCACAGGAAACAGAACAAAAAGGGGAAGTAACTATGGCAAGTTGAAATGAGGACCCTGCAATAATGGCAACACTCCCTCTGTTCCTTTCCCCCCCCCCCCCCCCTCTTCCCAAATCCAGATGGCAGAAAAGGTAGAAGTGAAAGCAAGCAGAACACCACAGCAAGGAGGCCTTTTAAGTACTGGCGTGTCCCTGTTACTTTAAAAGAGACTGGCCAGGTTGGTATGGAAAAGACAATCCAATGTTGCAAAGAATCCCGAATGGGCAGAGAGATTGGGAAACAATTATAGTCAGGAGGAAAAATGAACAAGATGGAGTGATAGTTGCAATAGTATTTATTATAGGGTCTCTCTCTACCCCCCGCCCCTCTACCCCCGTGTGTGTGTGTGTGTGTGTGTGTGTGTGTGTGTGTGTGTGTATGTGTGTGTTACAGAGAACCCACAACAACCTGATACCATTTATCTTTATTATGACATAAGACACCTAATTTTTTTTAAACTGCATCCATGTTATGAAATTGGCATGTCTCAGGCAAGCTAGGCAGAAAACACTTGGACTGTTAAAATGAAATACTTGGGAAAGGTTTCTCAAAGTTCAAATGGTGGATGAAAAATGATACTGGCCCAGAGGAGAGCCTCACTTTAATTCCATGTGTGCCACAGGCACACTGAATCAGAAACCAGCCAAACACAATGTATCTAATGTGTAGTGAAATCTGGCCAGCCATGTCCAGTTCATGCTACAGTAAGTGGGACAAGCCCATAAAAATGGGTTGAATAAACCATGATTTGGTTCATAACTGCAAATATGGGTAACCTCTTTCTCCCTTTAAGGGTGGCTAGTCCTCTTGGTTCCCAAACTGTAAAATGGAACTAGCAGCAATCCATCAAAGTTGTTTTTGATTCTTAAATGATGGATCATTGTAGATGATAGATAGATAGATAGATAGATAGATAGATAGATAGATAGATAGAT